TATATATATTGTATAATATTTTTTATAATTGTATTGTAAGCACATGGCGCTTGAATAGCATCAGTCAAGGAATGACGGCTGCCAGTGGCAAGATTCCGCAGACGACTGCTCTATGTAAATACAGCAGATAGCGGGCTGGTGCAATAGCAGGCTGGCTATTGCACCTGCCCACTGCTTGCTATGCCCTCCTCCCAGCGTGGAGGAGAGAGCTAGGGGATCCAACCAGCTAATCGATAATGAGAATAGTTGACAACTATTCTCATTATCGATTAATCTATTAGTTTTTTGCAGTCCTAATGTCAGCTGCCCGGCAGCCGCACAGCCCTGTGGAATGAATGGAAAGGTAGGACTAGGCAAAGGAGCAGCTGTAGAACACTTTTGGTCAGTTCTACATCGTTCACAACTGACTTGTTTTATGCGGTTGTCTGAGTCCAAGTCCATGCACATAGACTGTGTGTTTTGTTTACTTGCTAATTTTGTGATTTATTTTTTTGTTTGTCCTTGTAGCATCAATTGTATTCATTATCTGGACTACTATGAAGTTCCACCTCGTAGACTGTCAATCAGTAAGTCTCTGTAAATCATCGTTACAATTTTTTTGACTAGTTCTCTCACCATTACCCAACAAACCAGAAATATGTAACATAGTCTTGATCTGAAAGAACCAGCTACTCACTTGATATCACATATGCCCTGTTGCTGTGTCCAGGAAAAGTGATTGTGGCTTTGAGAGAAGGGGGAGACAAGTTGGGCAATAATTTCCGCCGAATGGCAGGAGTCCTGTAAAAGGAGATCCGTTGTGAAAAAGTGTTGTGGATTTGTTCACTCAGCAAGGGTCTGAACTGCCGTGCATTAATTCTGACACTTTGATAGTTGAGGATCATTATCTCCAACTCTGGTCATCATGTTTTTAACATAAAACTTAGTGTATTTTTAATTTCAAATTTGAGAAAACCACTTTATAGGTTTATGTGATCCTATTCATACAGCTTCAGCGAACAAGATATACAGGGGTACAGGTCATCTTAGCAACACACATGCACCCCCCAAAGGTTGAACTCTGGACCTGTGTCTTTATTCAACCTTAACACGGAGGGCGATTCTGTGGACCATCAAAACGCGTTGGGTTTGTTACCCGTTCTTCGATAAACTACTTTGGACTCTATTACTTGTGTTGGCGCCCCTGTTTTCTTTGATTCAAATTAATTTTATTGGCACAAGCCCAAGGCTCGTCCACACAAACCCTTATAGCAGGGCTCAAAATTTCAAGTCCTGAGCTACTAGCCAGGACTTAAGAGTTACTAGCCACCAGTTGCCCCACCTAACCCTTACCCTGCCCGGCCTTAACTCTGCCCCTAAACACACCCTCTTAAATAATCTTATGATAATTCTCATTTTATGATGGTTGACGCTTGCAAACGGCAGATTAGGGATTCCTGCTGCAGGAAAACGCAAGTTCCTGACACGGGAATCTCTCATCACACCTGAAATATACTGTAGGTGTGAATGGGTCCTAATATACACATACACTAAAGGTGCCCATACACCTGCTGATTATCGTACGATAATCGGCAGGTGTATGGGCAGCGTGCGATCGCTTTTCCTGTAAGGTCGTACGACTTTCGTCTTCCAAGCACGCTGGAAAACCTGCCTAAAATCGTACGATTTTTGGTGGGTTGGTGGCGTGGTCGTAAGACGAATGCCGCACGGGCCTGGTGTGCGCAAGCGCACACTGCCCACTCAGCACTGCAATCATCGTAAGTCCAAGATGGGCAGATCGTACGAGATTTGAATGACCTTACTGGTTGTAAGGTGTATGGCCAGCTTAAAACACAATAATACGCTTCTCAACGTTACACCCCCCCACGCACAAATATAATAATAAAATTCCCCCCGCACACAAAAAATAATACACTCCCCCCGTTATAAGTCTCCCCACACACATAATATACTCCCCTTTATTAACCCCCCACACACATAAAATAATACACTCCCCCCTTATTAACCCCCCCACACACACATAAAATAATACGCTCCCCCTTATTAACCCCCCACCATAAAATAATATGCTCCA